AGAGCAGTCTAAAGGCCATGCATATGAATTTGGAAAATAATTTAAATTTAATTTATTCTCAGAAAGAAGGTGGGTGAGGCTTTTTGGAATGATGAGTTCTTCCTGAGGAGTGCCACGGGACCTTCCAACCAAATGACACTGTAGCAGGGCATCACAATGTTCTCTCTTCCCGTCTGACCTCACTCTCCTAGCCTGCTCCACAAAGGGAAGGAGCTTTCCACTCTCCCCACAATACGTTGACAAATCACAATGTTAGAGACAAAAAGGCTCATAGGTTTAAATCCCTCTCATTTTACAGATGGGGTAACTGAAGCTGAGAGAAGTGACTTGTCCAAGATCACAAAGGTTGTATTAGAGGCAAGATTTGAATATAGGTCTTCTGAATCCTAAGTCAGTGCACCTTCGACCCTGCCACACTTCTTCCCTTCTCACCTGCACTGCTGAGTGGTCTTTTCACTAAGAGAGAGACAAGGATGGGGTGGGAAAGGGGGTGAGTAGAGGAAAGAGGAAAGCTAGGAGGAGAGAGAGAGAAAGAGAGATTGAGAGAGAGACTAAGGCAGAGGGACAGAGAGACTGAGAGAGACATAAAGAGGGAGGAGGAAAGAGAGAAGGGAGGAGGGAGGGAAAGGGGAGGAGAGAAAGTGAGGGAAGGAGGATGAGGAAGAGGAAGAGAAAGAGGGAGAGAACAGAGGTGTGGAGGGAAGAGAATCTTTGGGGAAAGGAGTAGAACCTAACAGTCATTTGAGAGGGAACCTCCCTTGAAAACCTGGAAATCGCAAGGAAGGTTTGTGAAATTTTTCTGTCAAAAAGATTCAGTTGACAGAATAAGGTTAAGAACTGGAAGAATAGACCCAAAGAGGATTTTATTCAAATATGAAGTGACTGAAACCAGAGTCAGAATCAGTGGCTAGAAGAGTTTGTTAGAGGATCATTTGACCCCAAACACTCTCACAGAGTCATTGAATATCATAGCTGGAAGGGATTCTGACAGCTGTCCAGTCCAAGCACTTCATACCAATGAAGAAATCACGAGGCCCAGAATGGTGAAGAGCTTTTCCTCAGGTCGCACAGCTAGTTTGTTGCAGAAAAAGGATTAGACTCCAGTCCTTTGATTTTTAGTCCAATGCTAATTCCAATGTAACATGCGATTCTCAGCTTCCTCATCTGAAAAAATGAGGGAATATGGATTTGGATGACTGGTTTTAAAGCTGAAAGCGACCTTATATGTAGAGTCCAATTCCCTCATTTTACAGATGAGGAAAAGGAGGCCTGAAAAATTGTTTTGTTTTGTCGACACGGTCTCCCTATCTTGTCCAGGCTAGAAATGCAGCGGCCACTTACTGGTGATCCCAAAGCTGATCAGCGTAGAAACCTTGACCCATTCTGCTTCTGATCTGGCCTCATTCACTCCTCCTGAACAGTCTGGTGCCCCCTCCATTCTCAGGGGTTCACTGTGTTGGTGCCAGATTCAATGCAGTCACTCAGTTGGCTTTAGCCTACTGTATCTCAGAAGTCCCACAATCAAGCCATCCACCCACCCCAGCCTACACCCCAGTAGCAGGTACTATAGGTGTGTGCCATCACACCCAAGCCCACCAAGATCAAATGATTTGTCCACATGATGGAGCCAGCATCTAAACCCCCACCCTCTGACTGCAAACTAGCATTCTGCCCACTGTCCCACACTACCTCCACCTCCATCCATAAGGTGCCATTCATCTTTAAAATTCTCCCAGGAGCTAAGGGAGCAAGCTGCCTCACTCATACACAAGTACTGTACTCATGCACATTTTAAACTACAGGAGAGATGAGCCAAACCTCCCTATCAGACTTTGACAATCTGCCCAGACAAAGGAGGAGGGAGGCCCCAGGGCTGGTGCACATTTCTGCACATTGAACTACTGATCAGCTATTATGGTAGAGAATAAGAAATGATCCTATAAAAACAGCCTCATTGCACCCACACAACGAGTAGTTAAATTAACTTTCCTGCAACTGGGAAGTTTACATTGAGGGACCATCGGCAATCTGATGTTCCAATGGGGCTACAGTGTTTTTCCCAATTTGGCAAAGCTCTTGCTCTCGCGTGCGGTGGCCTACTTCCCTTTCCTCCCCCCAGAGCACTGCTGGGAGTCTGGGACTTGCCTGCCCGGTGCAGAGAAGCCTCAGAGGAAACCCAAGTTGCAAAAGAGCAGGAAGGATTGACCCGTGCACCTCCCTTTAGAGCTTCCACTTTTCCCAGGCCCCAACTGTGGGAAAGACCTCAGACAATGGTCATTCTGAAGGCAGGGAAAAGAAAGTCCATGGGAGGACATAAAGCAGGAGTCCTCATTTGCTCTCCCAGGCAGGAAATCAGAATTAGGGTGGGAAACAAAACAGAGGCTGCAAAACAAATCCCCTTCTAAAGGAGATGGCATAATACAATGGAAAGAGAACCATCTCTGGAATAGTCACTACCTGTGTGACCTTGGGCAAGTCATTTAAACTCACTGGGCCTCAGTTTCCTCATCTGTAAAATAAGAAGAGAGTTAGACTAGATGACTTCTGAGGTCCTTTCCAGTTCTAAATCAATAAGCCCATGCATTAAAACCTATCTTGTCATAGATTTCAAGCTGGAAGGGACCTCAGAGATTATATAATTGAGGTGTTCTTAACCTTTTTTGTGTCTGGACCCCTTTTGCAATCTGGTGAAGCCTGTGGAGACTATGGGGTCCATTATTAAGGAACCCTATGGAATCCACAATTCTCAGAATAATGTTTTTTAATGCATAGAATAAAATATATAGGACGGGGAAGCTAAGTGGTGCAGTGGATAGAGTGCCGGCCCTGAGGACCTAAGTGACTCTGAGCAAGTCACTTAACCCCGATTGCCCCTCCCCCAGATATGTATGTATGTATGTAGGATGACAAAGGAAATATATTTAAATGTAATCATAAAAAAAATTAAGAATAAATTCAAGGACTCCAGGTTAAGGATCTCCAATCTAATCTACCTATCTCATTAAGGGAACTGAGGCTACAGAATTCAAGTTGTGCTTTGCAAGTGAATTGGATTCAAGTGAGGCAGCGCTGTTCAAAGTCATCAGCCTCACTCTCTCCTCCAGAACCATCGGAGTCCAGTGGCAAGACAGAGGTCAAGATGACTGGCAATTAGACAAAAGAGAAAATCTTCACTTACTAGCTGTGTGACCCTGGACAAGTCACTTAACCCCATTGCCTAACAAAAACAAAAAATAAAAAGAGAAAATCTGTCTCAGAAGTCAAACTCAGGTTTTCCTGATTCTGAAATTAGCATTCTATCCCCTGTATCATTCAGCTGCTACAAAATCAAAAGACCTCAAAGAGGTTCCCAGTATGTGCACCAGAAGTTGAATCTGGAGCCTCCGACTCCAAATCCAGCATCCACTCCCCTGTACCAGGAGATTTGTTCTGTGAAGTTTGGATTCAAAGGGCTGCACTTGAGGACCTAGGAGGCCTCAAGGCCAAAGGTTCCCCACCCCCCCATGCTATCTTGTGACACAAGATTAAGCTGACTAGAAGGTTAAAGGAAATTCTTTGTTTTTCTCCCTCCTCCCATTTCTCTCATTCAGTTCACCACAACTGAAGAATTAAAAAGAAAATTAGAAGAAAGTAGGGGGAAACAGGGGAAGACGGAGAGATGGCATAGCGCAGAGGTGAGCTGAACCAAACTAAAATGTAATTGTTGCTGTTCAGTCATTTCAGTCATCTCTGACTCTTTGCAATGCCCTTTGGGGTTTTCTTGGCAGAGACATTGGAATGGTTTGCCATTTCCCTTTCCAGCTCATTTGACAGACAAAGAAACTGAGGCAAACAGGGTTAAGTGACTTGCCCAGGGTCACCCAGCTGGAAGTGTCTGAGGCCATTTTTGAACTCAGGTCCTCCTGCCTCCAGGCCTGGCACTCCATCCATTGGCCACCTAGCTACCTCCAAAATGTAATCAGGAAGTATTTGATAAAATAAAAAACACGTATAATAATGTTAACAGGTGGTTTTCTAAGTCAATATGTGTCCCATATGGAACTTGATGTCTGGTGTAGTGGCTCCATTTTTATTTGAGTTTGACATCATTGGGATACAGGACAAGGAAAAATGTAGATTTTCTTGGGAAAGGTACCGGTCTGACCCCAGAGGACCTGGCATCTATCTAGTCTCAGCTCCACCATAAGTAGCTGCATGAGCCACAGTGGGTAACTCAATGACTCTGGGCCTCACCTTCTTTTTCTGTAAAATGATGGGGTTAATGAAGCAATAGGCTTAGAAAAGCCAGAGAACCTGACTTTGGGTTCCACCTCTGACATTTCATAATAATAACAGCTAGCATTTACATAGCACTTTAAGACTTGCAAAGCACTTTAAAAATATTATTTCAATTTATTTTCCCAACACCCTAGGAGATAGCATGCTATTATTATCACCGTTTTACAGCTGAGGAAACTGAGGCAGACAGAAGTGAAGTAATTTGCCCAGGCTCACACAGCCAGGAAGTGTTTTCTATCGTGCCACCTGGCTTCCATTTACTAGAGACGTGAGCCTGGGCAAGTGACCTGGAATCTCTGCGTGCTTTGAGCAATCCCTAGGACTTGTTTCTAACAAACACCTGCTAATTTAGAGGAGGGAGTTAGCACATGGACACTATCACGTCTCCTTTGCCAATTCAAGCTCTAAACTCTATGTTCAGCACCGCTTTAGGCACTGTGGAATAATGCAAAAGAAGGGTAAGCCATGGTCCTGACCTCAAGTAACTTACAATCTAGCCAGCAGGGAGAAACTCAAGAGTACAATTAAGTAATTACATTTGTAAGACTGTAGTAGGATAATAATAGCAATCATTTCTATAATAGGGCTCTCAGTTGTGAAGTGTTTTCCATATACCACTATCTCACAACAACCTTGGAAGGGGTGATTTCATCAGTGTGGGTACTTCACAGGTGGAGACATGCCCTCTCCCCATACAGATCAGCAAATGTCCTGGAACTTACTGTCTTGGAGAGTCGGAGTGATTTGTGCTGGGTCAAAGAGTCAGAGTCTCTGTGTTAGAGGCAGGATTTGAACGGAGACCTTCTGTCCAACTGCTCCAAAATGCCTAGAGGCAGCGCAGACCAGGAATAATACCAGAGGATCACAGATCTAAAGACAAAACAAAAATAAATACAAAATTATGGGGTTGGACTAAACAATATCTCTGGTTCTTCCCAGCTCTAATATCCTCTGCAATGGTAGAAGACGGAGGGAGAAGGCAGAGCAAGGCCTACCTGCTCAGAAGGTAGACATAGAAAGGAGCAAAATAAAACCAGTAACAGAGGAAGTATATATAGTTCCCCTGTTCCTCTAGTCCAACTTTGCTGTTACTGTTCAGTCATTTTTCAGTCACATCTGACTCTTTGTGACCCCATTTTCTTGGCAAAGATACTGGAGTGCTTTGCCATTTCCTTCTCCAGCTCTTTTTACAGATGAGGAAGCTGAGGCAAAGTGAAGTAACTTGCCGAGAGTCACACAGCTTGTAAGTGTCTAAGACCAGATTTGAACCCAAAAAGATGAGTCTTCCTGACTTCAGGTCCAGCACTCTACCCACTGTGCCACCCAGCTGTTCCACCACAGGGTTAGTTATTGGGTAATGGTTGCCCTCTCACAGATCACCGAACTCAGGAATCATGAGGATTAGCAAAATGACTGGCCCATCCCACCCACGGGAAGTTCCATTTAAGTCCTTCCAAAGTTGTTTCCCTTTAGCCTCCTCCAGTATCATTAGTCTGCAGCTCAGCCCTTACATCCCCTGCAGCTTATAGCAAGTGAGTAGATTGTGCCAAGTCAGACTTTGAGAAGGAGCCCTGTTCTCAACTAGAAATTTCATCTCCCCCAGAGAGGAGGTGATTAAGAACTTGGCAAGAACCATTAGATCGTGACTTGTCCCTGCTCCCCGTACCCTCCTCTCCCTAGCAGTCAAGAGCAGGTTGTATCCTCCCGCTGCTGAGAACTGACTTTACATCTCTTTGCTGCTGCAGCAGAAATGTTTCTGCCTGATGCCTTCTGTAAGTAAACAAAAACCAGGGAAGAGGGGAAGTGAAGGAGGCCTTCAGTTCCATTTCTTGGTTAGTTACACAAACAAGACAAACCATGGATAAATTAAGTCATCCCAATTGCTCCCCAATGAAGAATCAACAATTTCTAGTTGTTGACAGAACTTGGAGTAGTGAGGTAGGGAGAGAATGCCACCCCACCTTCATATTTCAGAAGAGAAAAGATGACATCCTCACTCCCTGGTCCCTTCCCCACCCTCCCCCCAAACCCATTAAGGGCAAGATATTATAACTTTCAAAGAACTGCATGCCTTTGGAACTAGGTGAAGAAACCTCCATATCTTTACAGGATCCACGTGGAAATGGTCAAAGGCCTGTTCTCAACTTGAAATCTCACCTCAACTGGTGGGCGGGGGGGGGGGTTTGAAAATTGGTAAAGAAAGAGGCATTATAGTATAGTGGATAGAGAACCAGGTCTGGGAGTCCGGAAAACCTGGGTTCAAGTCTTACCTTAGACATATCCTAATTGTATGGACCTTGGTGAGTCACTTAATCTTTCTCTGTCCCCCCCCAAAAAAAATCTCGATATGAGGCCACCTAGGTGATATAGTAGTAAATAGACTGTTGGGCCTGGAGTCAGGAAGACCTGAGTTCAAATCCAGCCTCCAACACTTACTAGCTATGTGACCCTGGGCAAGCCCCTAAACCTTGTTTGCCTCAGTTTCCTCATCTGTCAAATGAGCTGGAGAAGGAAATGGCAAACCATTCCAGTATCTTTGCCAAGAAAAGCTCAAAAGGAGTTATGAAGAGTTGGACGCGACTGAAAACAACTAAAGAACAATAAAGAACAGATTTGATCTGCATTGGCAGAAGGAATTCTTTATACCAATGAAATCAGAGGGTTAGTGGGGAAAAAAGTTAGCAAGCAGACCCTGGGCATTAGAGTGAGGATTTCAAGTTGGGGGTTGGACCACTGAGGTCTATGAACTCTGCTCCAGCCTCAGTCAGGGGCAGCTTTGACCTGCAGATGGCCAATTCCCTTCCAAGTATGATTAGCAGTGGGCTCAGAAAGCAGTATAAAATGGGGCAAAAAGCAAAGTCCCTTGGGATGATCAGATGCCATCAGCCCTGCTATCTTTCTTACCCTTTGCTTTCTTGGACCCTGGCTCCCCTGCCCTATGAAATCTAGCGGTCCTCTGCTCTCTGGCCATTGTCCTGGGAGACAACTTCGGTGGCTATTCCTGTTCCGGAGTCATGAGCCCCAAAGGCCAACCTGCATTCCTCACAGCGTTTTTGTTGGGATTAAAGGAGACAATGATGAATGTAGATAGGCTTTGAAGTCTAAATGCAATGCATCATACAAATGAAAGGTGTTATTAATAGGACTGAGGGAAAGCTTAACTGCACCTGGCTCTTCATAAAGCCCTGGTGCCAACCAGCTAAGAATCTGCAGCATAAAACAATCACCTCGTTACAAGGGATATAAATGTACACGGCCCCAGGATCACAGATGCATGTAAGAGGCAACATGGCTCAATGTAGAGAGTGAATCACGAAGGCCTGGGTTCAGGTCCGTTCATCCTAAGGGTTCTTGTTATCAGAGACCCTTCCCTCAGTAGTTTGTATTCTTGAGATTATTGAAAATTAGACTGCTGTATTCGATTGCTTCTGAGTCTTGCTTACTTAGTCAGCTCAATGATCTGCTTTTGTATTTTAGTCAGTGCCAAGTAATCTTGACAATTGTTTTCTATTGTAGCTTGAGATCTGGTCATGCTAAACACCCTTTATTCTGGTTTGCCTCCTATTTGTAGGTGTAGCTATTCTGTTAGAACACAGTAGTTTGCATGTTACCTCTCCCGCTAGAATGTAAACTCCTTGATGGCAGGGACCATGTTTTTGCTTTTTTCTCTATCCCTAGGACAGTACCTGACATGTAATAAGTTCTTAATAAATGCTTATTTATGATGACGGTTTGTATTTTCATTATTTCTCTTTAGAATCTGGACCTTTTGTTTCATCAAATATGTATTGTTATTATTTTGTCTAGTTCTACAAAGTATTTTGGCATTTTGATGGGTATACCATGAAATATCTAAATTTAGATAATATAATGATTTCTATTATATTAGGAGGGCCTGACCATTGTTTCAGTCTTTATTTCTATGTATATGGGTATCTCAAAAGTCTGAATGCAGTTGTAAGCTTTGTTATTGTGTTGTTCAGTCATGTCTGACTCTTTGTAACCCTATCTGGGGTTTTCTTGGCAAAGTTACCGCAGTAATTTGCCATTTCCTTCTCCAGCTCATTTTACAGATGAGAAAACTGAGGCAAACAGGGTTAAGTGACTTGCCCAGGATCACACATCTAGTAAGTATCTGAGGTCGGATATGAACTCAGGTCTTCTGATTGCAGGCCTGGTGCTCTATCCACTGCATCACCTAGGTGCCCCTTTTAAGCTTTAATAGCTATTAAAGTCCTGATAATTCAGCTACTATTGCTTAAAATAGTCTCAGACTTTTGGGACAACGTGTGTGTGTATTTATATAAGTCTTGAGTGGGACTAGGTAAATTAATTCCCAGATAATTTATCCATTTGTATAATTCATTTGGGTGGAATTTCTGTTATTTCCACCTGATTCTTATTAATACAATATAGTAACATTAATGATTTTGTAGGTTATTTTGTATTCTACCACCATACTGATAAAATCATAGGTTCAGACCAAATCTAAAGACAACTTTATCTAAGCCTTTGCTTTGAAAAGCTTCTCTGCTGGGTCTGAGATGGGGCTTTATAACTAAGCCATTATGTCACCTGCAGAGAGGAATAATTTTGTTTCCTCTCTGCCACTGTTCAAACTGTAATTTCTCTTTTGTCTTGCTCTTATAGCTAGATTTCTAGAATTATGTCAGATGATTATCAGGTGATGAGTTTTGCAGCCACAGAAACTTTGTTACAATCTGCACTGATGATGGGAGAGAACCCAAACCAATGAAATTATAGATCTTCAAAGATATTGAAGTGTTAAAGTTATATATAGATATATGATGACGAAGAGAGGTAGACTCGGCTGGATACAACTCACCTTCATTAGATGTCTCCTTCCCTAAAAATGATCAATGCAATCACGAAGTGGAAAGATCACAGGATTTTGAATCAGAAAGACTTCAGTTCAAATCCTAGCTATGAAACTTACTACCTGTGTGACTCTGGGCAAGTAACTTAACCTCTCTGAGCCTCAGTTTCCCCATATGTAAAATTAAGGATTCGGACTATATGATATCAATAATCCTTTCTACCTGTAAATAACGTATCAGTTTAATAAGTGTAATCTTAGGAAAAGTTGATTCCTGGAGGGGGGGAATATTATTTTCATTCCTTCTGGCAATGTCACAAAATTTCAGCCATTCGCCAGAACTATGAGAAAAAGTGTGTGGTGTTAGAACAGTCTTGGACTTTATTCTCTGAAAACATGTAAAGGCAGAGGCTTAGTGAATAAGGTCTTATCTCTGATACCCATGACTCTCAACTAGCCATGACTGCCCCCAACAGGCCCTCTTCTTCTGAGCTTTATTCAGGATTCTCTCTTTCTCTGCCACCTTCCTCAGCCTAACGACTCTCATGGGGCACTGAGATAACCCTGTGCTTTGCTCCATGTTTATAGCTTCTGATCCCAATGTTTGCTGCTGATGCTGCTCATCTGAACAGCCCTTTCCACTGATTCAGGAGTTTCCATGGATCCCCGTAATCCAAATAAATCCCAGGGAAATAAATTGAGCTTTGTGGAAAGAGCTCTGGATCCTGATCCTGGGTCACTGTTATGAAGAGAGACGATCTCCTTTTTTCCTCTATGTGTTCATCTTGGAGACTTCAAACTCAATGATGAAGCCTCTCAAAAAGCAGTGTCATCCATCAATCAGTCAGTCAATAAACAGTTGATAACTATTTAACAAGCACCTACTATGTGCAAGGCACTGTGCTGTGTTGAGGATATAAAGAAACGCAAAAGATAGTCCCCACCCTCAGAGAACTCATAGTCTAATGGGGGAAACAATATGCAGACAACTATGTCCAGACAAGCTACGGGAAAGAAAAATTGGAAAAATAAA